GGTTAAGAAACACAAACTGATGGGGAATTAGCAAACGAGGAAAATTTTTCGACAAATCTTATAAAAAGAAAGTAGGTAACGCAAAATCATTAAAAAAAATTTAAGGTAGTGTAAAATCGCTTACATGAAGTGCTAATCGTAAAATCTTCACTTTTGACTTTGCAAGATGAACAAGTGAAGGTAGCAGCATAAACCAAACAGAGTACGCATAAAAAAGTAAAGTTTTTGGCCATGTAACTGGTGAATGTCGGGCATTTAATACAGCTGTTTCAACGGCACTTCGAGCCTCTTGTTTTGTACGAATCAAAGCGCTCTCCAAACTATCTAAATCCAACAACAGAAAGTTTTGCAAACTATAACTGCTGAAAATGTATATGACAGCAAAATGTAACTTATTTACTACTTACCACTACTAGCAGCCGAGCCTTTCATTTCGATACTCATTTTGGGCAAATTTTCAAGCTGGAATAGTGCTAGTTCAAGTTTTCTTGGAAAATATTCATATTTATAGGTCAATTCTTGGCCATCCGAGTTGACAATAGATTCTGGAGGAGGCACGAATTCTGTCTGACAACTCGCTGACATCTCATATTCCACAAGAGAATCATTTGATGAACGATTATCTTAAAAAATGTAAAAAAAGTGATGAACTCATTAATCCTTCCATATGATACATAAGAGAAGCACAGATCAATTATTAACTATATCAGTATAAATCAAAGCTCTGCATCACATTAGCCTTCAAATTTAACAAATTATAAATGGTTTGCATTTACATATACCGATGAATTAAGTTACCACTTTGAGAAATTTTTGCAATGCATTCATCAAAGAACGCATTATAAGTATTTTTGTCAGAAACAAACGACCGCTCTTCGATAAAACGATTGAATGATTGTGTTTCGCTGAAACGTTTGAAAAATTCCAATGATGATCTGAAAATGATCTCCGAAAATATTTTCATTCAAAAAAACTGATTACGATATAATTACGTAAACTTATGCAGTACAGCACAAGTTAACCTACAGATATATAAGTTGATTACTTATCACGAGAGCGAAGAAAGGCATCAAGATCAAACAGCGAGCCCGTATCAGTAGCTCCTACACAGTGCGGAGCACAACGAATGGGTCTGAGATAAGCAGTATATCCTTGCATCAAAGAAGCCATAAATCTGAAAGTAAAACATAAAAATCAGCTGAGATGCCATTAAGTTCAATCGGAAATTCTCTGAAACTTCATAAAAACAAAAAATACTTAAAATGTAACAAATCAAAAAAGGTCTACGGTAGAAAAAAATCTGTGATAACAATGACTGCAAGGAAACGATGATAGTTACCGAAGAAAAGCATCCTGGACGCTGATTTCGAGCATCCTTTTCTTACGCTGTATATCATAATCGATATCCAGGGGCATGAAATCCATATTTTTTCGCAAAGCAATTACATTAAATTCTTCTTGATAAAGTCGTCTATGAAGTTTCTCAAGACTACTCTTCAGTTGTCGTGAAGCTTTCTGAAAAAATTTCTGTCAAACGGCATAAACTTATCAATAAAACCAATAAAAACTTCCTTAAACTCCTTTTTATCCAGACAATGAATCAAAGCAATAAAAACTGACTATGTACGGTATTAACCTTCGGAAGCATGCTAAGTTTCAACGTTTGCCGAACAGAAGAGAAACTAATTGTTGAAGTATCAAGATCGAAGCAAGTAACATCAGAGGGTGGGTCTTCGTAGAGGTCGAAATATCTGCAAGGAGAAATCATTATAAATTGCATCTAGCAAATGTAAACTCTAATTCTTCACCGAGCGGTGGAAATCCTTGCCTTATTTAGTATTACAAATCTGAAAGCTAACTTGAAGATTGGACTGTTTTTCCAAATTGTCATGAAATTTACCTGGAATCAACACCAGCAATAAACGGAAGTGGAGCATGAAGGACACCAGCAAGCGAAAGCGGACACTGAGGAATATAGGGACATTGCCAATGAAATGGGAACATCAAAGCACAGACACTTTCCGCAACAGCCGTTAGTAACCAAGGACGCAACGAATGAACTAATATTTTTTGTTCCAGCAACGCAAGCAGCATCAAATACCTAAAATTTACGCAGGGCTTCAAAATTTCATAATTTTGTCTAAATCAAAAAGTTCGCCTGTATATGCAAAGTGTTTGCAATGCACTATTTTATACAGCTTGAAAAAATTCCTAAATGAAAAAATATTAATCTGACAGTAAATTCATACATCAGATTTTGTGGTCCTAGACATTTCAGAGTATCGAAAAAAGCAGCACCAGACAGAGGCAATTGCGAATCGTCATGGATTTCGAATGAGATTGTTTCGTTACCCAACTGAACTAGTACACGTGGACACCGTGGTGATGGAAATGATACTTCATAGAGCTAAAATAACATATTTTGAACCAAAAAGAAAGAAAAATTCTCGACTTGGTTCACGAAATATTTCATCAGTGTAGTGAAATACTATTAGTGAAAATGAAGTCTGAGACACTAGTTCATTTTATTGGCAGTTCGGACAGAAAGCTTATTAAAGGAATCATAACCACATTTTTTTTCCGCGAATTTTGCAAAAATACGAACATTATCTTTGTGAAATAAATTTATTCAGCTCATTAGCCTTTCGGTGGAATAAAACTACTTTATACAAAAGAAGAAAAATGTAGCAGCAGAAGAGAAAAACTCACAAGGTGAGAAATATAACGTTCTACGGGAACAGAGTGTGAACCTGACAGGGACATTCGATGAAGATAAAACAAGAACCGTTTAAATGCGTTGAAAAAAGGATATTTTGATATGATGCAAATTGACATATTGCTGTGGAATGTCATCTGAAGTACTTCCAATATTCTTAATATGGATCAAAATAAAAACTGACAAGAAACTCCGAAAAAAATTGAAGCTCTGAAAAACCTGTTCAGCCGGATCATTGGTGTTAGAAGCATCCTCTACTGTCCCGCGTGTGACTGTTTCATTCATCAACTCCAGTTTTTCCATCTGTTCAATGCTTAGTGGCTTTGTATAAGGTTCGTAGAAGGTAACCGATGACCCGTAAAGTTTACTCCCATCCTGAATGTTCATTATGCATTAACTGGAGAAGTTCATTGCCATTAAAAACGCAGCAGTAAGGATAAAACACTCATTTACTAATGTCAAAATTCATCTTACTGAAATTTATCAAACAAAAATTTCAAACAGCTGAAATGAAAAATATTCAAAAATTAATAGGGAAATAGAACCTGATCAGTGAGAACGAAAGTAGAGAACAATTTGTCCGGTGGTTGACACCTTGCTGGCCAACATTCGATTAAAGCACCCACCGGAAGGCAAAACATCGGTATATTCTGAGCCAATGTAAACTTGTTATCTGAAGGAAAATGATCCAAAACAGTTGGCTTGTAAGCTATTCGTTTCGATGTCCCCTGTGATTTTTTATAACACAGGAATACATCAGAACCAACCATGCCCTGAAACTGAGTTTTTCTTGGTAATAATTCCTTCAATGTTATCCCATTTATCGCTGCAAGTATGAACTTTCGGTGTTTAATAATATGCGAAAGTATTAATAAATGAAATGAATAGGACTTTACACTGCTTTATTCATAATCGAATTGTAACCAATAAATTAAAAAGTTCTTAATGAAATTTAAATAGAAAAAGAAATATATTAAAGAATTTGTTGAAAAAGCAATAGTAGAAGCCTTCAAACATTAAGCAATTACTAATTTACTCTACACAATGTAGCACAGCATTCTAACCTTGTTTAAATTTTTTGGAATTTTATAGTAAGTATGTGGAGCCGTTTCTCCTTTATTTGCCAAAATGACACAGACGTGAGTAACAACAAGTTGGCTTGGTGCGCTATTGGCTTGTGCACGGCGATATGTCAGGAAAACACCTAAATAAATGAAAGTCGGAAGTGATTTGCTGCAAAATCAGTTGAACCCAAGAAATTCTTTAAAAAAAAGGATTGTTCCAAGAATAAATCGATACCTGGTGAGGCGTTGTTAACATTGGCAGAACGGCCGAAAGGAGTCGTCATTACGGTGTTCGAGTCAAGCATTGGCTTTTCTCCGCGACCCTCATCTAATACACCTGAACATGAGGGCCAAATGAAGTCAAAATAAGTCATAAGTCACAGGCACAGCAAATAGTATTAGTGAATAAATATAGTGCAAAACTAACCGATATCAACCAAAGGTGGCTTGTGATAACCTCGGCGAAAACATAAAAAGACTGATGGTGTCCGTAACGAACCATGGTTCAGATCAGCTGCGTATCCCATCGGTGTACTTGTGATACGCTCAAATCCATCTGGAACCTGGAAGAGATAACATGAAACAGGGAAACTGCAGTGTATCTTAATTTCAAATTTAGATTAAAATAGATGCAACAATACCGTTTCGCCCAGACCAGGAAAGATCACGCAGATGTCAGTAATTGGGGCTAAGGGAGCTGAGTTCCGGCAGCCACATTCCTGAGCTGTAGGTACCAAATCTTCAGCGCCATCTTCCAAACCAACGATAACGAAATATTCAAAAAGTCTCCTGCACTCCCCCATCCAAATCAGTCTGAAATCAAACAACATTATCAATTCATTTAGAAAAAATATAACGTATTTCTGTTTAACAATGCTAGGCAACAACCGCAACGACGGAAACATATCTTCATGAAAACAACGATGTAAATTCTTTTTTCATGAAATGGCCTTCCTGATACACGTATTCAAATATTTAACTATTAGATTTAAAGTAACGAGCGCATGAAGCATGCTATATATATAAAACGACAACACCCCCAAACTAACTACGAGCGGTAGTCAGCGCCGCGTCTCCAAGTAAAATCATGTCGCCTCAGTGAGATCGAACATTTTCATTGGTGACTTACGTGAGTCGTGCTGAATTGTGCCAAATAACGTTCGGAACGACTTGGGCTTGTCATTCAGCTGTCTACAGAACTTTTACTGCAGCTGTCTGAAATGCTTGAGGTTCTAAAAAGGCGAATCAACATCGTTCCTGCATGTCGCGCACGTCATATTTTATACGGGCACAAAAACATATCGAAGCCGACTAAAAGTCAAAGTGAGGAGTAAGTTAACTTTTTGATCCTCGTCTTGAGAGGGAAATTTGTGTGAATACTTGGTGGAGAAAAATATTTGTGTGCTTTGCAATATATAATCTTCTGCAAATTAAATTCATCGTAACTACATAGAGGAAAAACTATGACTTATTCCAGGATTCAGAAGAAGATTATTGATCTGGAAAAAATTACGCATCGAAGTGTTATTAGCGGTCGGGAGATATTGTGGAGTAACGCATCCGACTATATGAAGGTATCAAAATAGTACATTTGGCTGTGGGATTGTATTTAGGAGTGTAAAAGATAGTACGTGTTTTAAAGTCCATTCCCATAGTTCTAAAGAATTCCAAAATATATTAAAAATTAGAAGATCTCTATTTCAAGAGCAATCTCTTCGTGCATTTCAGACGAACAAAGCGCATGAACTGCTACGTAAAGTCTTAACTGCCTGTGCTGTAATAATGGCTATAAATGTATTCTTATTTATCCAAGCTGGAAAGGACTTAAAGCGACGAAGGAAAGAAAACATGAGTGAGCGTGAAATACAACGTGAAGAATTGAATTTATCAGGCGAACAGAGGCATAAAATTGGCAAACCGTTTGTAATTAATTGAGAGTACTGATAACTCAATACAAATATTATCACATATCTTCTTTTAGATTTCATTGATGTCATGAACATGCTATGGTTTGGTTTTCATAGCGTAAAGCAAGAATTTTAGGCTTTTTTAAGATTGTCATTCATCATGATGTTGAATTTCTGAGAATTTCTATTTCTTAATTCTGTACATTTAGTTAATACAAATTATTAGTTTTTTTGTCAAAAAATTAGGGAGAGATAATATATTTCAAGATACTGAATATATTTCAAGATACTGACTGATAAATCGATCGAATGCAATGCTCTTTTAATGCGCTTGTTTTGTATGTGTGCTTTCCTTAATTAATCGATTTTTTTTTGTTTGGTTCACGCATCATTCTACACTGAAATTGTTTAGAGCATTCTAAAAAATGGAAAAAGCAAAAAAAAATTGAACAAAAAACTTACATTCTAAAAGGGTTTGTGAAGTATTTGAAATGTATTCATTTTTATTGAGTGAGATTTATCGCTTGAAGAAATCTTTTTAGCCGAAGAATGGAAGATAAACACACAGATGAAAGATAAACGATCAATAAAGCAGAGTCATCAACAGAGGAGCAGTATCATTAGTGATTTCCAAGACAATGAGTTATTAAAGTCGGACAAACCGTTCGTCACATAATTTATGGTGTCCCTTCAATTTTTTTATTGTAGGTAACAAATATTTCAGAAAAAAATTAGAAGTCGTAGGGTAGTTATGCTTTGCGGTTTGCAATAATGCACTGTAATGTTTTTGTTCTACTTTCAAAAATTTCGGTTCGATTTGGTTAAATTCTCCAAGTGAACGATAATGTTATCCGTCACTTGAGGACTGTCCTGGTTTACTTAATCTGTGCAATTCATCAGTGACCTGGGAATTTTGAAGGTGCCACAAAAAAAGGAATTTAAGATTATCAAAGATGAATTTCGGCAGCATTTTTGTGATCTTCGAAGGCGATCTTCTTAGTCACTCACCATTCCCTCCTTATCATTCTCTTTCGCGCTTTGATTCACCGCATCGATTTTACTTTAAACAAAATTTATTCTATCCTCTTCTATGGCTGAATCTTCGTGAAGGAGATTGGTAACGGTTTTGAGAGCAACGATGAAAAACAGCTGGTAGAAAACCCCTAAAGCAAAAAGCTAATTTGGAATTTATTTAGCAGCTGCTGCAGCAATTTCAAGCTGTTTCATTCCAAATCTTTTCTCCCTGACCTCTCCCTCTCTATGTGATCGGTAAGGTTCGATTTTTACGCGAGAAATCCTTCTGAAATCCTAAAAGAAATCCTTTCAGAAGAAGAAATCCTTTTGAAATCCTAAAAGAAGAAATTTATAAATACTTAGCTGACGTTTAGTGATTTGATAGCTTTCGTCGAACATCTCAGTCACACTTTATTAATTTTTTTAAAGGCCTGACTGAGCAGTATGAATGGTTAGTCATACTTGCGGTATGAGAGTGAATTGCAGTTAGCACGAGGTGAACTTTCCTGTGATTATTTGCTCCTCACATCTTCTTCACAAGTCCCTCAGTGCGACACCGCGATGGTGCTAACTATCGATAATTCACGTCATCTATGCCTTGCAATACTTGGACTCCAGTGATATCAATACTGTCACATAATCTCACTCAGTTTGCTCAAAGCCAAATAATGCTGTTGTAAAATGAGGGATTGGAAAAATTCGGGTCTTGCAGAGATTTATTGCGACTTGTGCATGCACTGAGAATGTGGACCTTTACTGATTGGTGATGGGTGGCGGGGTGTGTTAATTTGAGTGGTGTTATTTTGAAGGGACAAGCTGACCTGCTATAGTCTGAAGTCTCATAAAATTGAGAGTTTTGAGTTCATATTTTGAATAATTTAGAAATTATTGCAGAGGGGGACCAATTCGTTACATCTTCTTTGTTCAAAAGACAAAAATGGCGGAAGAAAACGTGGTCAGTGGGAACGATAATATACGGATAGTCTCCAATTTCCTGCTCCATTCTCCTCCTGGAGAGTTCAATGAGGTTTTGATTTAATTACTGTTATCATACCTAGCCGTATAATCTGAGTTGCTGCTAGCTGTTCTTACATCTTAAATGGCAATATGGAGTTTGATGGGAATTTCAAATTTATGGTAAATATAGGACTTAAATTTTTGATACTGGTAACAGCTGAAAAGTTTTCGATGACATTCGGCATGATGTTGTGATCATTCAGCGGAATGCGTCCAGCGGCCGTATCGTTACAACTCACGTATTGCTTTGCACATGCTTCTTTCAAGACACGTGCCAATCGTCAGATTGTTTCTTTTAATTCTAGCAGTTAGAATATCATTTAATGGGTCTTAACTAGCTAACATAGAGCAATATTACTGCAACATGTTCAAGAATTTCTGGAATGCTTTTTGTCTTTTTGTTCCTCTACATTTGTTGCACTTATTCTTGGATTATGAAATTCTTGTCAGTAAAATTCGTTTGTTCATGGTTTCCGAAACGTACTTGAGCTAAAAGAGATTTTTAAAAATTATGTTGCTGGAACTTACAGCTTATGAAAATGTGATGGTCTGTTTCATAGGTTTTCAACGATGTTCGTATGTTACTGAACAATGATAACTTACTGAAAGATGGCTGTGCGGCGGCATTTGCACAATACAATAAGGAACAATTTATTCCTGTTAAATTGGAAAGCATTGATAAACAGGTGCCACTCATATTAGCTTGTGAAATTAAGGATCTGGTTTTTTGCTTTAATATTATATAAGAAATATTAAATTTAAATTTTGGAATTTACTGGAATTCGTCTTTAACGGTTTGACCCGTTTTGTAAGAAATAATTGGCCTAAAATTTGAACCCTATTTCACATTTCTTTATGCCGTAAGATATGTTTTAAGGCACTGCGAAATCTTTAATAATTTCAGAGGTGTTGGGGAATTTAATTGAGAAAAATTAGAACAAAGAATTTATGTAATTTTGGTTTTAGACTTTAATCACACCATTCAATGAAATGCCGAATGGCCGATTTTACGATCCTAGATCAAGAAATTCATTCAAATACGAGCATTTACGGAAAGAAGCTACCGATATTCAGACAGAAAACACAAACGATATCAGTTCTGAAACTTGGAGGAAAGCAGTGCAAGAGGTTTATTTTCTGGGATTCATGTGATTGTTTACCGCTCGTAATGTAAGCAGTCTTTTAGTTATTTGATGATTCACTAGAAATATCTCGAATTTATGTGCTGAAGTAGGAAAGTCTCATCTAGGTTTTTGTGAAAGTTTAAAAATCAAAAAACATGCGAAGATATGAGGTAATATCATCCGATGGACACGGAATTCCTTGCACTGTTCTTATAAACGGGATTTTTCTACTGTTCTTTCAAAGTATCTGTTTCTGTAATGCAACTAACCATGCAGGAAGCCGACAAATACATTGAGAGCCACTACGAAGAAACGGGTATAGCAGCAGTATTTGTAAACAACAACTCATTGACGTTGTGTATCGAAAGTCATCGTTATCAACCCAAAAATTTCTGGTAAAATATTGCCATTGGTTATTTTGTCGTTTAATTAATGAAGCTATTCAGTATTAACTATTTAATGAAGTATTTAATTAATATTTAATTTAATTAATAACTATTTAATTAATATTTAATTTAACTATTTTATTTAATAATTAACTATTTTAGTTAATTTAATGCAGTCATCTCCTTACCTTCTTTTTATTTAATGAAGAATGATATCTCTTAAGAATTATCAATGCTAGTTTTACATTTCATAATAAGGCTTTTTTTCGCCATCATAATGACAAATATAACATTGAACGAAAGAACCAGCTGTGTAATGATAGGATTCATACATTAGGTTTTCATAATTGTCTATTTCAAGTTACTTTTTTTGTCTAGGAATGGGCGGTGGCGTTCACAGTGGACAATACCTATTGCGGATGGCAAAAACGAACAATGTGAAATTAAAGGCATCATCAAAGTACATGTGCATTATTACGAAGACGGCAATGTTCAACTTGTATCAACGAAGGAAACATCTGCCAAAGTTACATACACGGTTAGTTTTTATAAATTTGTTTTGAATTTCATTGTTTTGGAGAAAGAGAAAAGAAGAAAAGAGAAATAAGATACCAGAATAAATTTTCAGGCCGACTTCGCACAAACCGCAAAAGATGTGTTTAGATTCATTTGGGATGAAGAATCGAAGTACCAGGCAAGTTTCTTTAACAGTGATTGATGAAAGTAAAATGGAGAAAATATTCATAATGAAAACTTGAAGAACTATTAAAATGCTGTTTGTAACATCGCTTTCAGGATGCAGTTCAAGAAAATTATCAACAAATGTCTGCCACAACATTCAAAACCCTGCGGCGTCAGTTGCCCGTAACGGGTGTGAAATTTGATTGGAACAATACACATGCATATCGAATCAGCAAGGACTTGAAACCACAGTGATTTGTTCCAATGAGAAAGGTACTTTTTCTGCAATTATTCTTGTTATTTATAAACATGTACTTAGAAACTTTCATTCGATGTAAGTCCATAATAAGCAGGATGAGGTTCGCATTTAGCATGTGCTGTTGACTTTCGTAGTTGCCTTGAATTATTAAGACCGTGTATGGATTAATGCTCACAGTAATTGAACTTCAAGTTAACAAGTTAAGTCATCGTGGCAAACTTTTTACAGATTTACTTGGCCAAAAATAAAATCGCCTCATATAGATCGGCAAGAGGTAATGCTGGTTTGTTATTACAATAGCCGTTTAAAATTTTTTGGAATTTGAAAATAACCGCTCTTTTCGATGACATTAGATCAAAAATGAACCCGTTGTGAAACCTATTTATTGGCTAACAGAAGTTTTATTCTAAGCTTCTTTATCGTTAACTGTTGTTTTGTTTTTTAAATCTGACTTGTAGCATCTGCAGAAAGTGCCGATTTCCTCGGGTTGGAATGATTAGGGAAACATTTTGCAAACATCCAGGTCTTCTGAAAATATTAGGTTTTGTTACTAGGTGGCGCTTTAATTCCGCGTCGCGTTCGGGTATCGTGATTGTCCACTGCGTTTTTCAAAAAATATCAAGTTTTATCCGAACAGTTTGTATACATTGTTCCTCTCCGCATTTTGTTTAATATGGCTAGTAGCGGTTTGCTTAGGCTGCTGTCGAACATATTTTTATTGATTTTCGTAATGTTCATAAAGATATGTATATCGAAAACTTTTAAAATTTTTGGAATGAATAGTTGAGGACCAAGAGATGCTATAAGGTCACGAATATGTTTTATCAGTCGATGTTTATAGCTTCTTTTTACACAAGCTGAGTATCAAAAATGAAATTAGGTACCTTATTTATTTTGAATGGAATCCTGGGATATCAAACTTGTTCAGCAAGTATCCTTAATATGAACTACAGTTGTTTGTAAGTTTTTCCAAGAAACATGAAGTCCTTTTGCATTCCGTTCCCGCATTCATTTCTGAAATGGGGCGCTCCCAAGGTTTCAGGTATTTCTTTTTCGCCTAACTGATCTATAGCATTTCTCGTACTTGTGATGCTATGCTACGCTACACTTTGTGAATGACTATTCACGAATATGCAGGATTTTTTTTCGCAAGTTAAAACAATTGGCTAGTCAAAACAAGATGTACTTAGCTGCATAGTTGTAATATTTTAATGGTGGCTCTTTACAGGACGCTCTTCGATTAATTTTTACAAAAAAAATTTTTGCCTACAACGTTACAAGCTCGTCTCACACCACAGTATACTGAGATGTACAATAAGGATAGGGTTTTAAGTGGTTAATGTATGGCAGTGATAAAAGCAAGCATTAATTAGGGAAGGACAGCACCTGGAAATCACCCAATTCAAAGTCTTCGTTATTATTAAGTGTTGCAACATATTTGGAAATGAATGAATATCTTTAGAGCAATCGACTTCTTCCAGATATCATTTCATTATACCAATTTTTCTGCATCTGGGGTATTCGATATTAAAAGGTATAAATGAAAAGATGGACAAAGTAAGATTTGATTTAAAGAAATATTTAGAATTTTTGAATCTTGGGAAATCATTCAAGATAAAATTAAGCTATGTAATCAGTACAATCCTCGAAAACGACATTTAAAGTCAAGTTCCTGGAGATTATTATCCTAACCTCTAATTTACTCCTCACATTTCTTACTTTGCTGTAATTCCCTCAAGCAATAAAGACTGCAACTTAATGCACCAAACAAGAGTTTTCTTCATGCATAAAATGGGAAAAAGGACCTTTTACAATTATAAAAATAAATGCTTGTGCATAACACCGGAAGTGGGTTACAAATTGGTTACTGAAAAATAGATTTTATTGTTCATCTCTAAAGAAGTGATTACATACCTTTTAAAAATCTGGAACTATGGAGCTTCAATTCAGCAAAAGTAATACGATATTTATGGGGAACATCGTGTGTACAATGAACAACCAGGACGAAGTTTAGGATCAGATCTACTTGAAGCTTTGAGTGCAATTACATTCGTTGCAGAAGGAAATATTCTCCGTAATATGTTTGGTAGTCGAATCAGTCGATATTATATTATTAATGGTTTGTAATCTAAACTTGTGCTAGACATACTTTTTATTGTATGGCTAGCAGCTTCCATTCATTAAATCAGCCTGGATCATTTGAAATTCTTAAAAACCGTACATTTGTTCATTTGTCTGCAGCTTGTCAAGAACACTTAACTGATTGGGGAGATAATTCATTTTTCCTATCAAAGATAACTCATTGTTCCTGCCAGTAATTGTCACTTCATTTCTATGGAAGCATGTTAACAATTACTTGAAATTTGTCTTTAGGAGAGTTAGCTACTTCGTGAAACTGATAAGGACATATTGCACAAGGGGTGATGGTGCGCGTAATAAAAACTGGAATGCGTAGATGTCAAGCGATGTTCCTCTCTCATTGTTACATTGTACTCTTGGCCATTCCAAGTAATGCCATATGTTCTGAATGATAAATATGTTTTTAACACTATATTCAAAGGTTATAAAAGAACGTTATTAAAAGAATCACGAAAAAAGACTTCAAACATATTTCGAGCACTCATACTTGCTACAGTCATGGCTTGTCCAAATGCATTCGCGCTCTGCGTATCCCACATTCTATCCCTTTTATTCTTTTCTATTAGAAAAGTCATGACTTATTACCCTTCCTATATAACTGTTTGTCGTTATTTGACTGCTTTATGTCCTCTTAACTAACTTTAACATTAAAATAAGTAACACACCTTATATCGTAGCTTTATGGAGATCTTTAAAATCAAAATTTTAATAACTGAAGGCATTGAAACTCCTATCCACTATACACCTATTCTGCTGATCATTTCTACAAACGGAATTTCTTAAAAGATTTTTTCATGTAAAGAAGCATGAAGCGTCACCAATTTCATCCGCACCAGCATGATTGTAATTCTGATGCAAGCCTAATTATATGATAAATCCAAGTATTGTTGGTACTGTTGCATAATGCATTTGTATAACCTAGCATTGCTTGATTGTGTTTCCGATAAAAACATTAAGCATCTTCCATCAATGCAGTTTCATTAATGGGAGGAAGTATGCCACATATTTCCATTAAAGGAATTACAAAAAATTTATGGCGACAATAATATCATCAAAGGTTAGTCATGAAAATTAAAAATATTATTGGGAGATGATTGATTTATACAACCGTCCCACCTATTCCTTATTCTGTTTTTAAAAAAAAGGAAAAGACTAACAGGTGAGATTACACATATCATTCACACAAACACTCCCGAACATTCGGAATCCCTCAAGACTATTGTCGATACTGTAAACCAAAATAGGTTCATTCACACTTTGCATAGTGTGCGGCTCGTATAGTCTAACAGGGACGGCATGAAAAAATCGGACTCAGAGATTCAGCGTAACATCCTCAGTTAGTGGAAGAATTGAAGTTTAGTTTTGAGATAGTCGTGGGTTGGAGTATATTATTCGGTGGTATTGTTCATATTTTTAGATATAACTGAAGTAGATGTGGTAAGAGTCTTAAAACTTGATGTAATAGTAGGATTCATCTATGCATTCCTCGTCACATGTTCTATTCATACACCAAATTTGATTTTATTTGGATGGGTAATATCTAGAACGGTAATTCTTTGGCGACAAAGTAATACAGAATATCTGATGTGAACTAGTTCGAAAGAGATTGCAATGCAAGGATTTGAAGATGGCTTGTTTTTTGAAATTAAGATCTACATAAGTATGAGAGACTTGTGATAAGACTCTCGCTTTGGACGAAAGATGCAGAATGCGTTCCATTCAAAGTATATTGCGTTGCTGAAAGTTTTCATTCTTTTAATTTTCGAACTAAAGTATAAAATTGTAATAACGTCTATCAGATTTATATTAGCAAGAAAATGTTGAATGTGGTAAGAAACTGAGTCATCTTCTGGCGCTATATAGTCTATACTGGTTCTACATTGGATTCTTTCTGCAGTCTTGTTATATGGGTCGCAAGGTTTAAAATCATTTCGTACAAGTAATTTTGTTTTTTTGAACAGTGTTGGATTTTCCTACTTTTTTTCGTGGATGTTTCCCAAGAATACTCTTTTTTTTTGAAGATATTTCTCATATAAAGATTTCATCATCAAGTTATCGATTTCATGGATATTTTCAACTTGATATGCTATCCATTTAAATTTATTTTATTTTTGTAGACCGTGAGACTTCCAGAAAATGCGTGAGTATAAAATTGTTGTATTGGGAAGTGGTGGTGTTGGAAAAAGTGCGTTGGTGAGTTCAATTCACAAAAATTTGTAGAAATTTGCAAATGCTTTCAATTTGATAAAGTGACCATTCTAATTCTTATTTTTGTAGACCGTACAGTTTGTGCAAGGCATATTTGTGGAAAAGTATGACCCAACAATTGAAGACAGTTATCGAAAGCAAGTTGAAGTTGATGGTCAGCAATGCATGCTCGAAATTCTGGATACAGCTGGCACCGTTAGTTGTTACTTCTCTGTTTTTTAGGGGTCGGTTTCAAGTTGAAGTTAATACTTGCTATTTGAGATTTTTATGTTGTGACAAGCAATTTTGAAAATGAGAATATTTAAACAAATTTTTTTAGGAGCAATTCACAGCTATGCGTGATTTGTATATGAAAAATGGTCAAGGCTTTATCCTGGTTTACTCCATTACGGCACAAACTACTTTCAGTGACCTCACGGATTTGAGAGAACAAATCTTACGCGTCAAGGATACGGAGGAAGTCAGTCCTGCTTGTTTTATTATATTTGAATAATGTATGTAAGAATGCTATTTTCAAGTACTGAGATAGTAGGATCTTTAACATTGCAAGACTCGGTTTTGAGAGAAATAATCTGGTTCAGTTTCAGCAAACTACCATTCGTAACATTTGTGGTGCCTGCATTGTCGTGAACTTATCCTATTTTAAAAT